CACACACACATACGCACACACACACTCTCTCTCTCTCTCTCTTCTCTCTCTCTCTCTCTCTCTCTTCTCTCTCTCTCTCTCTTCTCTCTCTCTCTCTCTCTCTCTCTCTCTCTCTCTCTCGCCTCTTTGGCAAAACTTGCCAAATTTTCTGGAGGTCCCTGGAAAGATGAACTTTCCAGGATGTACCCCAGAATTGAGAAGTACGTAAGCAGGGTCGTGTAATCTAGAACCAGTCGAAAAAGACCCGTTTTTGAAAAAAAAACGACTAAGGAAGGAAGGGAGTCGTTCGGAAGGGTTATGGTGTTTGAGGGGGAAAAAAAAATGGATTTGATTTTCTATCGATGCGGGTCTTGAATTTTCTGGTGTCGATCTGTTTTGGGGAATAGCCCGATCTAGATACCACGAAAATGTAAAATAGAAGGTTCCCGGTTAATCAAACATATATGAAGCCAGTATGAGTACATAATTTAGGAAACTGAAACAAATGGAAATTGTAGATTAATGCGGAAATTTGGTTTTTCTATCTGACGAATGCTGGATTTGCCATTTAGAAGGGAGCCCGATCACGGGGCATTTTGGAAAAATGGAATTCCCGATGAATCAGGCACCGATGTGAGTCGTAAGTTTGGGATGTGACTCTGCGTTTATGGATATAAAAAGAAAAAATGCAAGCGACGGGGGTAGCGGGAATTTTGGAAGATGTCAAAGGGTGACAGGGCGCTTGGAAAGAATGAAGGGATGGAGAATCAGAGGGAAGACGCGCGGATACGACAGGTCTCAGAAAAACAAAAACGAGGGGAGGGGAGGAATAGAAAAACTGAGGAGCGGGAGCAGGGCGCGGATGCAGAGTCACGTGGGGAAGACGAACGGGGGAGGGAAAGCGAAGGAATGTGGTGGGAACAGGAAGTATAGAAGGGACGATGGAAGGATAGGATGCATGAATCGAAGTAGCCGAGCAAAGGGAAGAAAAGAAGGATAAAGGGGAGTACAGGAACAAAGGGCGAAAGGACGGGGAGTTTGGGATCAAATGAGATCAGGAGGTAGGGAGGGAATTTGACGGGGTCCATACAACAAGGAAAGGAACAGGGCGGGAGAAGCAAAATGGAGGCAGCAAAGGGAGTAACGAAGGATAGGGAGTTTTTGATGAGAATATAGGGAGGTAAGGGGATTCGATAAGGAGGATTCAATAAAGAGTAACTAAGGGAAAGAGAGCGGGAGGGGAAGGGTGGGAAACGAAAGGAGAGCGCACAGTCGAGCGCACGAGCGGGAGGTAATCAGCGGAAGGTGGATCGGAATGGAGAAAGGGAGGAACCTACTCTAAAATCGAAAATTGCGACGGGAGAACGAAGTGGAAAGGTAGGAATTAGCCGATTAGTATAGCACGATGGGATGAAGGAATTTTTAGAATTTTATTTTATTTTATTTTGTCTTTATTTTTCTGTTCTTTGTTTTGTACGTAGTAGGATAAGACACAGCTCACCGAAAGGACCCATGTAGGAGGAACGAGTACTATATAAGTGGTAGGGGCCGAGGATCCTATCACTTACGATCACTTGACCTGTGTGGGATAAGCCCCCTGATGAGCTGCTGTGACGCCAACAGCGAAACACGTCGTTGCGACGCGTACTTTGGACGAGGCAATGATGATATTGATGCGGTTTTTTATGTGATGAGTTTTTGATGGCATAAGTGATATCATGGTGTTATGCTTCATCGTTTCTTGAATCTCGAAGAGCGTGGTAACCAACGTGTCAAGATACTAGTGTGGTGGCTACGAGTGCGGCAAGGCATGGTGCGGCCTACGAGCTTTTTAGCGTGATCGTCTTTAAGCTGGGTTAGGAGCACGGACGTAGAATGATCAAGGCAAGGATATGGAGGTGTGTTTGTAGGGGATGTGTAGTGGTGATTATTTTGAGTAGTTGTACGGTGATTGAAGGGACTACAGGCAAGGCGGGAAAAGGTGGGTGGAATTTCGAAGTGCACGTGATTGTTATGTGGAAGAATTCGGAGAGCTGTGGATAGGAATGTCGACCAGGAATTTTAGAGACTTAGAGCTAGAGCGTAAGTGGGTAGAGTTACAGAAGATTATAAAGGAAAGTTTGACTCCGTTAATTTTTGTGGCTTTGCAGTTTCGAGATACGGACACGAAAGAGGAGTTGATTAACGAGCTTGAGATAGTACTTGGAAGGATTCATAGCATTGGTTGTCTAGTTAGAAATCAGAGATATAGGAGGAGGAGACAAGATAGGAGAAGGAGATAAGATGGCTAATCAAGCGCATCTGGGACAACTACCAGCAACTTTCTATGCGGGTGCGATTCCTGCTGTTAATACACCAGCTAACCAGCAGGGGATGGTATCATGCTATTTGTGCGGAAAACTCGGACACTATGCCAGGAATTGCTGGTCGGCGGGAAACGGAAGACCTCCAGCACAGCAATTCCAGCAACAGCAGCAGCCGATTCAAAAAGACGAGATCATCGAGATGAAGGCGTATTTCCGAAAGAAGATCCAAAAGCAGAAGATGGAGGAAGAGAGGCGTGAGAAGGAGATCGAAGAGAGAAGAAGGAGAGAAGAAGAAGACAGGAAGGAGGCTGATAGGATACGAGAAGCAGAAGCCAGGGAAGCGAGACTTGAAGCCAGATTAGTGAGACTGATGAGTCAACACACGAACTCCGTAAGCATCGCGGCATCACCAGTGGTAGTGAAAAAGAAATATCCACGTTCCAAAGCTCGGATGCTCCGGGAGATTACGAGTTACCTAGATGAATCAGAGGACGAAAGTGAGGAGGTTAGGGAGGAAGCGTCGAGAATGGTGGATGCGATCGAGAAGAGGAAAGGGAAGAGGAGGATTGTTGAGGGAGAAGGAAGAATCTCTACGGTCTGTGCGAGCGCAACAAAGGCATCTCCAATTGTGGTCGAAGATATTCCTGATGAGATACGTACGCCACCTGCCAGGAAAGGAAAGAACGACAACGAAGCTTCATGTGGCGAGGTATTGGACTTTGTGATCGAGTTGCACCGAAAGCTGTCCGCGAAGAAGGCGCCCGATTTGCGAAAGATGTGTAATGAGGAGGGGATTGAGTGGACTAAGAAAGGTGAAGCTGTTGGCGAACTGGTAAGATGCAGAACTCGCCTGGCTTACGGGGAGCTATCAGCATCAGCGAGTATGTCACCACTCTCAGGTAAATAGCACGATGGAAAGGGAGTACGTGGCACCACTTCGTAGGATGATGGCCCAAAGAGGGAGGGAGGTGTCGAGGGATATGGCTGCTCTGGATTATAGAACCGAGGACATGATTTTATGAATGTTCGTTTTGATTGTCATTAGAGGGCACTGTCTGTGGGCAGCAAAATGGGTAGGGATGATCGGGGAGGGGAACGGTGATCTTACCACGAGAAACTCTGGTGTGTATGCCCTGGTGAGTCTGTGGTGCAGACATACATACGTCGGGTGCACCACAAGGTCGTTTTTGTTGAGATGGTCTGAGCACATCAAGTATGCGAAGACGGGTAGACTTGGAAAGGCACCAAAGTTACACTCATGGTTGAAGTTATTTGGTTGGGATAAATATTTGATTTTGCCTGTGATCACGCATGTGGTGGACCCGAAAGTAACCGAAAAAATGCTTATTAGAAGGTATAACCCTGCTTTAAACACTCACGGACGGGGAGATGGAGGGAGGAAGATGAGAAGGAGGAAAGGAAAAAGGGAAAGAGGGAAGAGAGGATCGGTGGCGAGACAAGGCAGAATGATTACGTTCAACGGATATACCTCGATCATCGATCTTCTGAAAAAGAACAGCGGTCAGAATAGACAGATGATTATTAAGACAACCGTAGGGGAGATCTGGGCAGACAAGTGGAAGGTTGTGAGAGGAAAAGTGGGAAAATCCGTGATCATGATTCGCGGTGAGCGCAAGAAGCTGAAGAAATGCAAGCAGATGTTGGAGCGAGGGACAACATTTGCGATGGTAATCAAGATCACCTCATCAGCAATCGAGCACCGGCGGAATATCCTACGTGACATGGTCAGGCAACCGTGGAGAATCCGGGACATGTACAGGAAGAAGTCGAGCGAACTACTAGCACTGTACAGGACAGCAAGCACATTCGGGAGGAAGATCACGAGGAATCATCTGAAGGTCAGAATCGCGAAGATAGTGTGTGTCGTTCACGGAATCGAAGTGAGAAGCGTCAAGATACCGTTTTCTCCATCGATTAATACAAGGGAAGTCAGCGAAGTAACCGCGAGGGCGATAGGCCAGATCATCACCGACACTCACCTTCGGGTATATGTGACAAAGAGAGTCCAGGTGGTTTTTTGGAAGTGCGCCATAGTAGGACAGTTGATTCACAATCAGCGGATCTGCACGAGTGCGGAGGAGGTAAGGTGCATGTGCGGTAGGATGGAATGGCCGTGGGAGCGGGGACATGTCAAAGTGAGATTGGATGACATTTCCGGGGTACCATCTTTTTTGAAGAATTCGAGAAACGTGACCTGTGGAGACGTGGCGTCTATTCCGGTTTTAAGGGATTGCATCCTAGCAGCTCTGAAGACATGGAGCAGAGGAAAGAGGATAAAGATAGGAGACGAAGACCTGAAGAAATATATCGTACACGAGCGTATGAAAGACATACGGGCAATGAAAGGAGCCGAGGTGAAAGCGTGGAGCAGGAGGTTTGGGAACTTGGTAGCAGTTCCGATTGATCGGAACACTGGAGCTACACTTCTCATCTGCCCGGTACTGTACTTACACGCATGTAAGATGACTTTCAACTTCAGTCCGAGCTTCGCACCCGTGCAGAAGTCCGAGATGGCGATTTTGAGAGAGATAAAGCAGAACTATGCCAGGAAAGGGTTGGAGAAGATAGCTACATGGGGAACAGGCGGGGAAATAGGCCAAGCATACGTCTTACCCAAGGACAAAGACTTGGAGAGATGGAGGCCCATTTCCCCAGCGACTAAAGATCCTGCCAGACTTGCCGGATCTAGGATTGGACGAGCGGTCACATTCATGCTGTTTGGTACCATGAAGACAGAGCACTTCGATATGAGAGCCATGGATGACCTGCGAAGACGGAGCCAAGAAATCCAGAGAGAATTTAGAGAGGTGGTGGACGGAATGTATGCGAGGAGCTATGACATCAAAGACATGTTTGCGAGACTGGCACATGAAAGTGTGATAGACGAGGTTCGATGGATAATTGAGATACATCGGAGGAGGAAGTTCGTGGGAGTGAGGGTGAGCCAGAGAGGTAAAATATGCATGATGGCGAAGAATGCTAGGAGAAGCGAAGGGTTTGTTCTTCTCGATTTTACATTGATCATGGAAGCAGTGACGTACGAATTGGAGAACACATATGTGAAGTGTGCAGGAGAGATTCTGAAACAGGATTTCGGAATTCCTATGGGAAGGAATTCAAGCCCCGCACTAGCATGTGTTGTATGTGCCAGATCGGAGACCATGTTCGTTGAATCGATGGGAAGGGACCGGGATCTTATCAGGGGGATAAGGATGATTGACGACATTGCGGTATTCGTCGCGTTTGAGACAGGTGACCAAGTATCTAAGGACAAGGCAGCAGGGATATTCGACCTGTTTGAAAGATGCTTGAAATTAGTCAGGAAGGACGATTGAGCGAACTCCTTTAAATTTATGGGAACCCAGATAGTGATTGAGGTAGCACCGATCGAATTCCACATATTCACAAGGTCGAGGAACCAGCAACAGTTGGCAGAAACAGGAACCTTACATTTTCATTCAATGCAAGATTTTGAGTCATATTCGAAGAAATCGACGAAGAAAGCAACGGTGGCTGCGAGTATGATCCGAGTATGGAGGACGTCGACATCAACTGAAGCAACCTTGGCCACTATATCAGCGATCATGTTTGAAGCACGCCTCCGGAGGTCTCTCTCGCCGCTTTGGCAAAATCTGTCAAATTTTCTGGAGGTCCCTGGAAAGATGAACTTTCCAGGATGTACCCCAGAATTGAGAAGTACGTAAGCAGGGCCGTGTAATCTAGAACCAGTCGAAAAAAACCCGTTTTTGAAAAAAAAACGACTAAGGAGGGAAGGGAGCCGTTCGGGAGGGTTATGGTGTTTGAGGAATTTTTTTTTTTTTATTTGATTTTCTATCGATGCGGATCTTGAATTTTCTGGTGACGATCTGTTTTGGGGAATAGCCCGATCTAGGTACCACAAAAATGTAAAATAGAAGGTTCCCGGTTAATTAGGAGTATATGAAGTCGGTATGAGTACGTAATTTAGGAAACTGAAACAAATGGAAATTGTAGATTAATGCGAAAATTTGGGTTTTCTATCTGACGAATGCTGGATTTGCCATTTAGAAGGGAGCCCGATCACGGGGCATTTTGGAAAAATGGAATTCCCGATGAATCAGGCACCGACGTGAGTCGTAAGTTTGGGATGTGACTCTGCATTTATGGATATAAAAAGAAGAAAAAATGCAAGCGGCGGGGATAGCGGGAATTTTGAAAGATGTCAAAGGGTGACAAGGCGCTTGGAAAGAGTGAAGGGATGGAGGATCAGAGGGAAGACGCGCGGATATGACAGGTCTCAGGAAAGCAAAAACGAGGGGAGGGGAGGAATAGAAAAACCGAGGAGCGGGAGCAGGGCGCGGATGCAGAGTCACATGGGGAAGACGAACGGGGGAGGGAAAGCGAAGGAATGTGGTGGGAACAGGAAGTATAGAAGGAACGATGGAAGGATAGGATGCATGAATCGAAGTAGCCGAGCAAAGGGAAGAAGAGGAGGATAAAGGGGAGTACAGAAACAAAGGGCGAAAGGGCGGGGAGTTTGGGATCAAATGAGATCAGGAGGTAGGGAGGGAATTTGACGGGGTCCATACAGCAAGGAAAGGAACAGGGCATGAGAAGCAAAAAGGAGGCAGGAAAGGGCGTAACGAAGGATAGGGAGTTTTTGATGAGAATACAGGGAGGTAAGGGGATTCGATAAGGAGGATTCGATAAAGAGTAACCAAGGAAAAGAGAGCGGGAGGGGAAGGGTGGGAAACGAAAGGAGAGCGCACAGTCGAGCGCAGGAATGGGAGGTAATCAGCGGAAGGTGGATTGGAATGGAGAAAGGGAGGGACCTACTCTAAAATCGAAAATTGCGACGGGAGAACGAAGTGGAAAGGTAGGAATTAGCCGATTGGTATAGCACGATGGGATAAAGGAATTTTTGGAATTTTATTTTATTTTATTTTGTCTTTATTTTTCTGTTCTTTGTTTTGTACGTAGTAGGATAAGACACAGCTCACTGAAAGGACCCATGTAGGAGGAACGAGTACTATATAAGTGGTAGGGGCCGAGGATCCGATCACTTACGATCACTTGGCCTGTCTGGCTGATGAGTTGTTGTGACGCCAGCAGCGAAACGCGTCGGGGGACGCGTACTTTGGGCGAGGCAATGATGATATTGATGCGTTTTTTTATGTGAAGAGTTTTTGATGGCATCAGTGATATCATGATGTTATGCTTCGTCCTTTCTTGAATCTCTCTCTCACACACACACGCACACAAACACACACATGCACACATACACACAGTCGAGTACAGTGATGTTTTTTTTTAGTGTATAGCGAATATGACAACACAAAAAAAAAAAGAAAAAAAAAAAAGGTGTCACAGTGTATATTTCCATTTTCTAGCAGATGATTCATTCGATTTTGCCTTGGCCCGTGGGGTTGGAGACCTACCTGTTGGCTGCTGCGTTGCCCATCCTATAGATGGAAAACACTTTTTCTCTCTCTCTCTCTCTCTCTCTCTCTCTCTCTCTCTCTCTCTCTCTCTCTCTCTCTCACAC